ATTTTTCCTCGTATAAATGGCCCTATTGAGGTTCGAGAGAAACAAAATTAACTGTTTCCCTCCAGACCAGCCTTTAAGTGATGTGTTATATAGCCCACGAATAGCAACTTTTTCCTGTACAAATTTATAAAAATAAATTGCTCTGACGTTATACATTTTGCAATGTTGACCGCTCAGAGATTTTGGCGGTACACAGTTTCATTGTCAGATGTCATGTGACCTCGAAGTAACTAAACCAATGAGAACGCACACTGTTGGGAAAAAAAAATCCAGCCATATAACACAGAGTATTATGTGTAATGTAGCATTTGATTCTTGCATTTCAGTGTCGCATTCTTAACAACGTTAATTGGAAAATAGTTGCAGAACATCACCATCCGCATACTGTGGATTCTCCCTCTGTGGTGAGTACAAACTACCTGTCACATTCAGTTGTGTCAAGCAGATTCATTTTAGGAATTGGCCAATCAGAGCCTCAGTCATTAGGCCTACGTCATGCGGTATATAATTGCGTATGTCTTGGGTGTGGTCGCTTCTTTGTAAGATTTCAGACTTTTGAATACAGTTTGAGACGAAACTGTAACGCGGGGGTAATGAAATCGAAGTAAACAGACTGATACCAAAGAAAACTAAGCATAAAACGATCCGCTAACACTCGTGTACTTCAATCTTATTTTCGTTAGATTGTCTACAAAGAAGTAGAAATGAAGCCACCCCTCCTGAGAGGAGAAATGATGCCACCTGGAGGATTTACAGTGCAGAGTAAATGTAAAGTTCTTCAGATAATTCACTTTTCATGACATTGCATCTATAATATATCCTGTAACTACAAGCTACGTGTATTATCTTTAACTTACTGGCCAACTCAAGCATAACTCGAAACAGTAGAGTGAGCAAATTTATGATAATAATAATAGTATTGTTGAATATAATCCGTGGTGATAATGATGATGATAATTATGATGGTGAGGATGATATGATGATAATGATGATAGGGACCTTAAGCAACTAAGACGACGACGGCAGTGAAAACATTACTAAAAAAATGAGTTTGCGTCCTTTCAAACTTTATCGCGTCTATTTTGAACCGCTGAATTCGTCAAATGTAGGTAACTTTTCCTGGAGTTGAATTCGTAAGGGCTTTATCCACGTTCAAATAAGGAAAGGAAAATTTGTCGTCGTATGTCCACGTCCTCTATAAAACGTCGCATTGGGACGTTTTACGTCGTAGTCGTGCAGTTGACGTCAAAGAAATGTACTAAAAAGCGTGATGCGCGTGCAAAGCTGTTGTTTTGGTCATAAAACCAATTGTTTTTTGACGGTTGTTGTAGTCGCCGCCGTCGTATTTGCTTAAGGTCCCTGATGATGGCGACGACGACGACGACGACGATGACGATAAAGATGATGATGATGATAATGATGATCATCCCGAAAAAAGTTTATCAAAAATCCAGCAACAAAAATAACCATAGCGGAAATAGGACGCAGAACTTAATACTCACATTTAGAGTCTTCACAGCAAACAGCATAGCATTTTAGCGTACAGACGACCACTTAAATCGCGATATGATTGGCCAGTCGGAAAGACAGCCATAGTTGGTGGTTGTATTTAAACCCCTTAACTGACACTACACAACCCTACACGAGTCGGTCAGTATTTGTATTTTATAACAAAATATCAAAATCCCTCAACCTGAATTTCATGTAAGGTGTTTCTTTCTGTATGCTATTGTACTTCTTTTCTCTTCCGTTTTTCCTATGAAATTTAATATCGCCCTTATTTAAGATTAGATTAGCGTAATAGCTGTTTGCGGGGCATAAAGTATTGTAGGCTTTATAGTTCTGTTTAATAAACACTACATTGTTATCGTTGTTGCTGTTGTTGTTGATTTATTTATTTATTATTTTTTCCTAGATGAGGTACAGCCAGTGCCATTCCAGCTCCCCTCAGTGAAACCTGACCCAGAAAAACCAAACCCCAAACTGGGTGTTGGACAGGTCGCTTTTAGTAATGATAACAGATTTTTAGCCACTAAAAATGGTAATTAACTCTTAACTTTAATTCATTACCCTCCGATAGATAGCCGTGCAGTTATGAAGTGGTCACTTTCATTCCTACCAGCTGTTGTCTTATTTCTCTTTCAGACAACATGCCCAATGCTCTTTGGGTGTGGGATTTACCTAAATTATGTCTCACTGCAATTTTACTACAGTCAAACTCAGTTAGAGGTTTGTATAACCATGTATATTTTACGTATATATTTTAGTTTATTTATTTATTTATTTATTTATTTATTTATTTATTTATTTATTTATTTATTTATTTATTTATTATGTTCAAGTTTCACAGTACGTATGCGTGTTTGCAAGTCCTCCAAGTTTAGCCGATAAAAAATTCGCAAGATATATGCTCTGGCCAGAACAGATGTCTTTTGCAGGGTGTGGCTGCGGCACTCGGCTTCAATAGAGATTATTATTATTGTTATTGTTGTTGTTGTTAGGATCAGTGATTCAATGGGAAGTCTTTCCTTGGTTGCAACGATGACGCCTTTAATTAGACATTGTCCCATATCACTTTAATTTCTTAAACTCAAACCATTCTAGATTAATTCACGATCAGTTTGCCGCGCTAGGCGCGAACTTCATGTTCACTTTATTTCAGGTCCCGAGGGAAACAGTTAGTTTTGACATCTATTTCACTTTATTTTCGTTTTGTAGCTTTCCAGTGGGATCCTAAACAACCCCGACTGGCGCTTTGTACAGCAAATAACAAGCTTTACATGTGGTCGCCCGCAGGCTGTGTGTCAGTGGTCGTACCCACCGAAGGTAGGGTCATTGCAAAACGCTAATTTACTTTGCAATCATCCCTCTAGCACGCTGAGGTATTTTCAAACGACCTTCATTTTCAGAGGTACCTATTATAGCATAAAGATACACTTCTCGGCGAACAGAACTTGAGAAATTTATGACCCCTTTTCCGATAACCAGTTTCGTTCTGTACAACCACAAGGTTATCATCTTCTCTTGTTGGTCGTGTTTAGACTGTACTTTGTGTGATGTCCTCTTCGTTTTAAACATAGCTTTCCCAGATGTGATATTAAGTGCCTGTTGGAGAGGATTAAAGAAAGCGAAACACTCATACGTGCAAGTGATGTTGGAATGTGTTGTTATGAATTTGCATGATCTACTTTTAGCTCGCAAAAGCGGGCTTACAAACGTTAATCAAATTACCTGCTTTTGCCACTTAAACACTGAAACACAACAACAACAAAGGACAACAAAGGATCTTTTTGTTTGTTTGTTTGTTTGTTTTTATTTCCCATGCACATTCCATGGTTTGTTTTTAATCACCATGCACATCTAGGAAAGCTGTGTTCATCACGGAAGCAGCCTTTATATAAAGCACGGTTCGCAACTAAAATAATTATTAAACCTGTGTTACAACTTTTTCCCATTGTTTTATGCTTTCTTTGTCATCTCTTGTTTCAGCACCATTTCACGTCACCTCATTGCAGTTCCACCCTGATGGTAACATTCTCATGCTTCTTGGGAAAGATCAGATGTGTCTTTGCTTTCTCACGGATCCAAGAACATAGTATCATGTTAACGGTGCCTCTTCTTCTATGAGCTTAGTATTGTAAAGCTTTAAAGCTAGGATAAACCCCCGCATTAATCACTATCTACCAGATGAGAAAGCAGTTGTGTTATGCAGTGGTTACTGTTATGCAACTTGTTGATAACTGAGGAACCGGTCTCATAAAGTATCCAAAGATTTAGTTTACATTTTCTGCGTACCATTCCTTTTGCTGCGGATCTTCTGGCACGGCGATAAGGATATCTCGGCCGGTGACGGATTAGCGAGTATTAGAAATATAAAAGCAGCAAGAAAAAAAATGCATCAGTACTTAAGGAACAGTTGCAAAAACGCCCACTTAATCTTAATTTCCTTTTATGCAGTCAGACACGGACATTAAAAGGTAACTTTCTCAGGCGACACTTGCGCTGTAAAATTATAATTGGTCTTCTGTTGTTCTTCTTCCAAACATCGCACAGTAAAACTGCAATGTGCAATTCTGACATTCAGTAAATGTCTTTCGGCTCTTCATAGAATTGATTCAGCTTCTTCCCTTAAACTGTCGATCTGAGTTTTAATCACATTCTTGGTAAGATGATAAAATCACTTGTTGTCACGTGACTAACAGCACCCCACCGAATCACTCCTTTAACACTAATTTGTTTTCCCTCCGTTAGAATGTTGTGTACATAGTTTTACCGGTACATTTATCGGTGTACAACAGACTAAATGCCTGAAGAAGTTATTAAAAACGGTTCACTCTAGAACTATGACTGCATGACAAGGGGAGGGGGGGGGGCGGTAGGGGCGGGGTGGGGATGGATTGGTTGAAATTGGTCCGAATGTGCTACAGATACACACAGAAGAAGTCTGCACGTTAAAACAAAAGCATTTTGATTTTTTTCCTTTATTTACAGTTAGCGAGCAGTGGAGTTGTTAACTGTGGCTGATTTAGATTGACATTAGGAAATGAGTTTTACTTTTGTCACAGTGTGACATCAAATTTCTTTCCGCACGCGGACACTAAAGCTCAGAAAAGAGTCCAAAATGACTGCAATTATTACCATTTAATTGCTTTTCTAAGTTGTGTTATCCTTGTTGTATTTATAAAGTGTGAATAAGGTCTTAAATTACATATTTTTTTTACGTGATGTCGTTTTTACTCGTTCAACTCTTGTGTACTTCTTTTCTTCTTCCCAAACAAATCTTTCATGAGAAATAACTGCATCGTGTACGGCCGTTCTGGAATAAAAACAAAGTGTATACATGTAGTTGTAATTCAACTTTAAGGACATCCACAGAACAAAGGAAAGTTGTTTCGGCACCCATTAACCAGTAGTGTCTTGTTTTTTTGTTTTGTTTTGTTTTGTTTTGTTTTGTTTTGTTGTTGTTGTTGTTGTTGTTGTTTTCAATACAAATGTAGCATTAAATTTAACGGAAACGTCTTGAGGTTAAATGAAATGATCAGCGAAAGATCACACGAAATTTAGGGACTACAACGTAAGAATATGGAAGCTGGATACTTCGACAGCAAGAAGTGGTTTAAAAAAATACCGGTAAAGAAAATTTGTCAAAATTACTTTCAAGCTAGAGCATGTGAAGACGTGAGAATGTATACCAATGGCTGGCGTTTTCAAATTTATATATCGTTAACAGAGTTTTGTAGTTTAGAAGTTTCGTTTAAGGTTTCTCGAAACACTGTTTAATCGCGAAGAAGGAAATTGCGTCTTCTCGTCACTTTGAAAAAGAAGCTTCTCTGTGCTTTTTGTTGCTGTTGTTGTTTAGTCTGTTGCCGTTTTTTTTTTTATATTTTCGTTAATGTTTACTTGCTTACCTGAAAGATGTCGTTAAAAACAAATATCTTAGGTGCTTAGGTAGAAATCTGATTAAAGATCTTCTTAAGAAAAGGATCAACGCCACCGTCTGAAAAAAAACAAAAAAAAACAAAAAAAAAAACAAAGGTTTGAGTCAGACCGAGGATAAGTTTACTTCTTTTTTTTTTCTGGTTAGTTGATATGCAACAGCACGCGGCCATCGTATGTATGTTTGCTCTAGTGAGTTATTGTATGATCATTTTTCAGACGGTGGATATGACCTGATTTCTGGCCTTCGTAGAAATGTGAAAGCGAATGAGAACATAATTATATAACTGTTTTCGCAGGCTTTATCTAAGGCACTTTTTTGCCGTGCACTGTTTACTCCGTACTCTATATCTATAAATCGTATTGAGGCTGTCTATGCACCTGTGTTCCCCAGTTTAACACACCCTCACTGGTGTTCGCCCGCTCTTTTTAAGTGTAATTGATCGCGAGCAGTCTCTTATTTTACGCTCGCCGCGCGTGCTCTGAGGAAAGAAGGACGAACGTTCGCGGTGTTAACTGAAGTGTGATTGATTCAATGGATTACTGAATTGCTCATTTGCATTTAACATATCCCTTCTCTAGCTAGATATTCCCTTTTAATTTACAGCACCCTTTTACATGTAAGGGCCTGTTTAAATGGAGGTAGGGGACCCCAGGTAGGTGGGGTAACCCGCCTGTCCATATAATCTCTCATTTTAATTGATCACGTTTACATGATAGGTGGGGTGACCCGCTAAGGCGGCTAGCCCGGTCTGCCAGACCGGGTGACCCTCTCAACCGGGGTCAAATTTTGCCATGTAAACGTTTCAATGTGGGGTAACCCGCCTAGCCGGGGTCGCATTGGCAATACTGAATTCGCGCAAAATTCACTTTGCCGGTAGCTTTGCATCATTATATAAAGTAACAATAGAAAGCCACAACACTGGAGGTTGCAGCAAAAGCAGCAAGCGAGTGTAGAAGAGCGTCAGTCACCAAAAAACGTGGTTTGCCAGCATTTTTCTTGTTTACGTACTTAGTAATCTTGAGAAAGTGCACCCCGGGATGAGGGGGGTGGGGGGGGGGGGGTTGTAAGATTACATTTAAAGGAGGGTTATTTTTTTACCCCCCCTAAGGGGGTTCCCTTACCTACCTGGGGTCCCCCACCTTCATTTAAACAGGCCCTAAAATAGGGCAGTAATCCAAAAAAATAACTTTTTTTCCCCTAATTTTTCAAAACATACTAACTTGAATTTTTATTTGTTTTCTGCAGATGCGACACGCGAGAAGGGTGTGTTGTTTTGCGAGTTGTTTGGGTTTGTCTTTTTCTTTTTTTTTTTGTTTAGGGTTGTGTAGGAGAGGGGAGGGGGGGGGGGGGGGGGGGGGGGGGGGGGGGGGGGGGGTTGTAAGATTACATTTAAAGGAGGGTTATTTTTGTACCCCACCTAAGGGGGTTACCTTACCTATCTGGGGTCCCCCACCTTCATTTAAACAGGCCCTAAAATAGGGCAGTAATACAAAAAAATTACTTTTATTACGCTAGTTGTTCAAAACATACTTACTTGGAATATTTACTGCATCTCTCTTTTCTTCTTCGTTTTTCCGTTTATTGTTGACGGAGTCTTCGGCAGTTTCTTTACTTGCTGTTGGAGCTGTTGAATGGCTATACGCTGCATAGCAAATAAGGATTTTCAATTTAAATTGACTTATGCTTCAAGTCAGTATTTTAATCACAGGTGATCATACAGCACTGAAAAAGTCTTCGATGTTTTGCCAGCATTTCCCGGGTTTTCGTTGCGTTTGCGTTTGCACTTGCTTTGCTTCCTAAGGCGCGCCGACCCCACTATTAGGTAGTGAGGTTACTCAACAGGAAGGCAGAAAGAATAGGGTGGCAATACCGCTGTGTGTAACAAACGTGATAGGGCAGTTACATGTGTTTCTTCGCGATCTTCCTTAACATTATTGTGTTGTGGTTTTTCATAAAAATGCCTGTTAAGGTAAAGACTGGCGGACAATTTCCTCAAATTAACTTAATTATTGTCACTAAAGGCTTTTTTTCTTCTCTCTTCCTTTCCCGTCCTGTTTCGCGTAAGTTCAATATATATACTATCCCAAGGGTAAGGCGACTTAGATTTAGATTTCTTTAGACCCACCCTTCTTCAAGATTTTTTTTTTTTTTCATTCGTTTCTTCTCACTTTTATCTGTGATCGACGTAAAATGGCACAATGGACCCAAAGTCGAATGCAGGATATCCGCCGAGAATGAAAATCTATTAAACATCAAGTATTTTTTTTTCTTTTTTTTTTTCTCCATGAGGCGAGCATGAGGTTCAAATTCAGTCCCGTGAGAGTTCTTATCTAACCACTTTCTCCTGTTCAGTGCAAGAAACGTAACATAAACGCCGGCCAAAAAACGCCTTATTATTGAACAGATGTTAAACCTGCCAGTCAAAATTTTTAATACTTCTGTACCCGAGAAAAGAAACTCGAGAAATTCAAACTGTGTTTTATATGAATAACGCTCATCCTTCACTTACCTGATATCTGAAGCGAACTCTTGTAAACAGGCATGTCATCAAGTCTTTCCGTCTTCTTTACCATACTTTTTAATTTCTCCTCTACACCCTTGGCGCCATGTTTAAATGTCAAGACGAAAGGAGCGATCACTTTTCGTATCGTGTTGGGATTATGTTTCACCAGCCCCTCTCTTAGAAAAGAAAACAGTAATAGTTATGTAATTTACTTAGAGTCGTCATCGTTCCTTTCCGGGATGGGTTGGGTGTGTGTGTGTGTGGGGGGGGGGGGAGGGGGGGGGGGGTGGGACCTGGGAACGGTTTGGAGGGGCACACGCGCGGGAGGAAGGTCTGCCTCTGCCGTGCGGTCGCAAAATATTGCTAGGACAGACCGCGTGGAGAATCGACTTGCATATGCTTGGCAGTACTAAAATTAATTATCTTAGACTCGTCTCAGTTGCTTCGGTTGGCATTCGCGCGGATATTCTAAGAAACGCGAGAAGTCGAGAGTCTGTTGCTTATGCTTGTAAAATATCAGCATTGATAGCCATGGGAAGGAAGTCAAGCCTACCATCCCTTGCCAAAGAGGATTGCTAGTATTTTTTTTTTTTTTGTAAGGTTTAAATGGGGCTTTTTGGTTGGAGCCTTAAAAGTCATCAACATCATCGTCATCGTCATCACCTTCGTCATCATCACCATCTTGATCAAAATAAGTAAATAATTCTTAATGGTTGTTACCTGAGCCCCACAACTTCAGCGTTAACAAACTTCGGCTCGTTTTTGAATATTCGTTTAAACTGCGAAATAAGAACAAATTCAATTTAAAACAACATTGCAGATACAATAGTATAGTTAATAAAGTTGGAAGTTTTTGCGATGGTTTGGCGATTTTGCTCGTGAACTCGAAAAAAAGGGGTGGAAAGGTACAATCAAGCTCGGACCTTGCTTTGATTTTTAGTCAAAGCAGCAGTGTGTGTCAGTAGTAAGACATACGCCGCGTACAGTCGAACCACGAGTGGACCATAGATAATGTTCGTTTTAGACGGGTAACTAGCCAAAGAAGAGAGTGCACATTTCGCTAGACGACCACTGGTTTCCCCAAGAATTAACGTCTGAGGAACGATCGCAGAAATTCCATACTGATGACGTCACTTTCCAGATCTAAGTTGTGCTTCTGATTAGTTGAAGCAAATTTCCCTATCGGTTCGACCAATCGGAACTACTACCCAGGTCTGCTAGTGACACCCCATCAGTGTGGAATTTCTTTGTTTCCTCCCTTTAACCCTTTTTTTCTATTGCGAAATATTTTCGATAAAATTATGCGAAGCATTGTTGCGTAATTTTCCACCTTCCCCCCTTCTTTTCCATACGTGGGGATGACAAGAGGTTGATTAAGCATCTCCTCGTTCCATGTAAGGAAATGTTGGACAGTCTTGGATTCTGGATTCCACGCCATGGATTCCGGATTCCAGGTAATGGATACCGGAATCTTTGTCCGCGGAACTTGGATTCTGGATTCCGTTCGTTAGTGGGATCCGTATTTCTTGAAACTCAGGATTCCGGTTTCCAAAAGGAAAACATTCCTCTGATTCCAAATTTCTCGAATTCCGCAAGCAAAAACCTCCCGGATTCTTGTATTCTGTCTTACAGGTAATAATCCCGTTGCATGGGTTCATAAACACTTACCGCTTGCACAATATTTCCTGACAAAATTTTGGAGTCCGCGCTATTTGCGTCCTCGAACTGATCCAGCCAGCTCTGTTTCAGTTTAATTGTTCCTGCATACATTACAGCTAAACCAGAGAAATAGCAAGAAGAAATTAAGATTTAGATTACATGAGACGACATTGACTGCAAAAATGTTAAGATTTACTGTGATTCGCTTATCATTATACTCTGACGTCAGTCTTATTGACAATTTCCAAGCACTATTGGTGAGCTATGCAAAGTTCAATAATTTTTATCTCTTATTAATCCAAATGATTGAAAGTGGTCCAAAAATACCGATTCTAGCCCGAATAGTAAGGTTTTTTTTAGTCCTTTAGCATTTCTTCATCATAATTATAAGTTTCGTTCGCTCTGCTTCCCGTGATATTGATTTCAGCAAAATGCCACAAGGGTTTGAAACCAGATCGAAAAGACAGAAATTAATTCAGAAACGTGATAAATACATGTCTTTGGAGACTTACTACCAGCGTCCACTTTTGTAGGCTGTACTGCGATATGGCCTTTTGAAGTTGGTGTGGACGCGATGTGTCGTTGCTGATGCAAATACATGAACTGACTCGCATGGGTACCCTGAGGCGTTTGGTTGGGCTGGTTATCGTGCTTTTCTGGTGTCTCCTTATTGGTCGAGTCTAAGTGCCCAATTACTTGTTGATGAATAGTGCCAGTGTCTGCACGCTTAGCAGCCGTCTCGTCGTCTTTGGTAATTTCAGCAGATAGCACCTGTGCTACTGTGTCGTCCTTAAGGGCATACTGCTCAGGATGTAATGTCATCGGGGCTTCTTCCACGCTTATCCCAGAGACTGAAGTCAACGGGGACTCCTGAAAGGACGTGTCACGGTGTATCTCCAGCGTAGAAGCTCCGGATGCTTCTGATTGGCTAATTGCCTCATTGCGCGCTGGTTCGTCGGAGGCTTTCACTGTTATGGATGTCTCCCCGGAATGATCGTCACCTGAGGAGATCTCACTGCGAGGCGTTTCGAAGATATCTGAACAATAAAGAGAAAAAAAATCCAGGGGAATAAATGTTAGCGGTAATCCGGCACTCGGGATACCACCTTTTCGCAATACCTTATTTCGTGTGCAGTAGCCATGGGGAATGAAAGTCTCGAACCAAAAATTGGTTCGCTGTGAAAATGACGATACCGTCGCCAGATGCATAATAACAAGTTGGAAACGATCGTAATTAACAGAAGGCCCAAATATTCGTAACTTTTGTGTCTAACAACTATTCTTTTCATGTTTTCTTCACAAATTGGAGTGCAAAAACGCCATTTTTCTGTGCTGCCCTGTACTCGGACGTTGTTGTTGTCGTTTTTTTTTGCTGAGTCGCCTTTATTAGTGATTGCAGAAGCACTGTTCTCAAAGAAAGCGACTTTTTGCATGTATTTATAAATTGCCTTTCAGTACTAACGTGTATATTATGTCATGTATACAATCTAGTGTAAGTATGGCATTTTTATGCTATAGGCTTGCTAGACGAGGGAAAGAATAATAGAAATTTCTGTACCTTCGGTTATAGGCTCAACGCTGTCAATATGGAAGAAGTTTCCCCGCTTTGAAGGTTGCATTGCACCGGCTGTTTAAGAAACAAAAGATGGAGACAAAAATGAGAAATTTTTGGGCAGGTGTAGTTAGTCGGGAGCCGATGCATCTTACATTGTTTTAGTGGACGACAAGGGGGGCCGCAATCCTAATTACGAGCGACTAGAGGGGTCCGCCATCCTAATCTCTAGGTTGTTATTAAGCATGCGTCGCATGTATGTAGCCAGCATTCGTTTGGACTTCCACTAAGAATGAATGGAATTCACAGAACGCAATTTGGTCACTAGCGTCTCGACCTTCTACTAGTCGTGATCTGATCACGCGTGTTTTGACCATCTGTCACGTGAAACGTACGCAAAGCACAGCGATAAAGTAAAAGCGTTTGCAGCCTCGATCGTTGTTGCCCGCACCCCCTAACCTTTGGTTATTACTAGTCTACAGTTTGCAATTACGCTTGCACAGCACGTATGTAGCCATATTGCAGCTTCGTTTCGACTTCGACTAGGATTGATTGGAATGTAAAGAACGCAATCTGATCACGCGCGTTTTTGGACCTTCCCTCACTCGTAATCTGATCACGCTTGGTTTGACCTTCTATCACGTGAAACATACGCAAAGCACAGCCTTGGAGAAAAAGCGTTTTAACCTTTGATCGTTGTTGGCCGCACTTACTAACCTCAGGTTATTACTAGTATAGCTAATTAAATGTCTGAAAGGATTGTATGACCTACCAGTGGTGAAAATAGCACTTCTCCAAAATCCACCGCATTTTTGTGCCTTGTCTCCCGAACACAAAGCATTACATTCCTCATCCGGGACCTTGGTATACTTTCCATAAGAATTACCACACCGACACAAATATCCATACTGCACTCCGGCATAAGCGTGACCAGCGCCTTGACACGCGCTGCGGCACGAGTCAGGGGTAAGGTGGGGAACTGAGAGCACCGTGGGAAGGTCTCGGTCTGGAGACTTATCTTCAAAGCAACCAACATATCCTAATTGACAGGAAAATGAAAGCATTTAGCTGTAATGGCAAGTCATTGTCTGTACGGTATTGGCTTTGGGATGGCCAGCAAACTGGTCCGCAAAAAGCCGTGAGGCTAGTACACCAGGAAACAGACTAATAAACCTTGGTTATCCAGTGAAGCTGAGTTGTTCTAATAGTGCTAGGCTATATTAACTGTGTTTTTTTTTTTGAGGAATTTTGAAACTGCACTTCTGCCTTAAAGGTACATGTACATTGTAGTTTTTAGGTATATAAAAACATATAAACAAACCTTGCCTTATAAAAAAAAATTTGTTGCGTTTACATTTGTTTCTCTTGACTTAGGAGTTGAGGAACAGTAAAATCATTACGAAATGTTTTAATTCACCTACCATCTTCTCTGATCTCTCTTTCATGAATCGTCAAAGTTGCCTCGTCATCGTCATCATCGCCCCCAAAGCTCGAATCCATTTCACGTTCATCGTAGTTATGCGAGTAAATCGCTGGTCGCTCTATGATGGCCTCAGGAGCGTTCCTTAACTCACGCGTATACACCACACGTGGCTCCGAATAGTCTCCTGAATGTTGGTAGTAGGTTTCTCGCTTTACTGGTTTGGCTTGTTTTTTGGTCTCGCTAGAAAGGGATGCCGCGGAAAGATCAATGGTTTCCGGTTCGTCCGTGTGTGCGTCCTGGTCGCGGTAAAACCGCGCCACAAGACTGTCGCTTTTTAATGCGTCGTTATCTCCTAGGTTATTCTCGGAAACTAGAAAAGAGTTTTCTTCAGAGGATCTCCTCGTGCGATAAAATGAATCCGGGAATATCACATCAGTTATTGACCTTATAGACTTGGCTTGCGGTTGAGACTTCACTTCCGGTCTAGTTTCAACGTCCGGTCTTCCTCCAAAATGGTCTTTTTCCGTTTGACCCGATATTTCACTTTCTTCTCCTTCCCCAGTACCTTCGTCCTCATCAGCGTGCATTGTGGACCCTAAGGATCCACTAGATCCGTCATCTTGGTCAGAATCATGAATTTCCTTCATGTTCTCAACAGCTGCCATTAAATCATCTTCTAGCGAATCTCTTTGTAGTTCTCTTCTGAATAGTTTCTCGCCAGTTTCATGTTGCATGTCCTCGATGCTTGAATCCTCCACCTTACTGTTCAGTTCCCTTTCTGCCGCTTCGTTTATCATACTCAGAGCCTCTTCGGGGTTGTCTCCACTCCCTGAACTCTTCTCCTCCTCAAAAAACTTCGGCAATTTATCATCATCTACTTCCTTTTCCGGTGAAGGCCAAAACCCAGAACCGGAAGAGCCAACTTCCTGACCGGAAGTATCCTGTTCATCTGGAGTAAGAGAACTGATCGCTTTCAGAGCAGATAAGAGACTTCCTAGTGAATTTGTACTCATACTTCGTTTTTCGGTTTGTTTAAACGGCTTTATTAGTGGTGCATGTTTATTTGTAATATATCTCCATAATCCAGATCCGGATGTGGTGTATTTTTGCCCTGGTTGTTCAGCGACACCGGAAGTTTCCCCAGTAACCGAGGAGCTTTCATCTTCATCCGGGCTTCTCTTGCGAATTCGAAACGTCTCGGGCCGCCTTGCTGTGATGTCATTATCCTCACGGGAAGAACGAGAAGATCTTGCTTCCATTTTTGTTGCGAAAACTTTCGTTTTGTGTTCCGTTGTCTCTGGGGCGAAAAAACGTCGTTTGTGTCTCATCTCAGTTTCTCTCTCATCCTGTGATCTTCGAACTTTATGAACAAAATCCTCATCAATTTCACGTTCCGTTTCTCGTTTTCTTTTAACACGAAAAAGTTCCCTGTCAACTGGAAGACCTAAAAAGCAACCATGTGATAAAAAACAGTTTGTTTGTAATCTATTGCAGCTATTAAGCCCTTAATTCTTAATATTAAAATATAAATTTTCCTATCTTGTCCCTTACGTTTTCTTATATACATACTTTGTTAAGGTACAGGGAGAATTAATCGTGAGTGATCATTTTTATGTTTTCCATACCTGACTTATCACAAGGAAAAATTTGAGCTGAATCACTATGGATTAAACGGCTTAGAAGAGCTCCTGAACAAGATTTTATGTCGTGTTAAAGAAATTAGGAACCTATTATATTTTCTCTATTTGTAACTATAAAAAATTCCCCCCTGTGGTCAAATAAATAATGATCGTTTTAACTGAATTAAGAGCATACAATTGCGACTCAAAATCGCACAAATCAAAGTCAGTGGAATCTAATGAATCACAGCGTTTTACTATACAGGCATTCAACATATAGAAGGATTTGGTTATTCTACACTGCCCAGAATGAATTTAATGTCAAGCTGCCAGTTGACTTGCTAGCTTAATTGGTTACAGCGCTTGCACCAGTATCGCAGAATCCCAGCAAGCCTGAATTTTTTCGGGCTTTCTTTTCGCAGCTACATAAGTTGCGTCTTTAAATGCGAGGATCTTCTTTGCATTTAGAATGAGAGACTATTTTCTGTTGGTGGATACGAATACGCCTTGAATACTTACCTAAAAGCCCTTGGATGAGGTAGGCCCCAATTAACAGTCCTAAGACTTTGGAAATGTTCATCTTTGAACTTCTTTCTCCTGTGCTCCCTTAAAAAATAGCCGCATTTATAGTATTATCTAACTATGTTAGCTATTAGGTATAACATTATAAAAACGTAGGGTTTTCTGTTATCTCTAAAAGAGTCTGCTATTGAGTTTTCCCAAATGTTCCGTGCAATCTCAGTATCAGAGAAGCTGCAAGTGTACGTATGTAAAAGTGATTGGAACTAGTCTTATGATTACACTGTATGTCTTGGTGATTTTTTCTCTTTCGTAGTATAGCGGTCGTAAATTGTAGAGCTTTGGTTAAGTTGTTTACCTCGTAGGCGCAAGAACCCACAATTTACCTTTAATTGTGGGAGTAAAAAAGCCGTCGACGGGATACCTGTAGGGACATTTATTCTCCTAAACTGTAATAGTCTACTGCCAAATTAGTACCGTCAAAATAAAATAAACACATAAGGAAAAATCAAAAGCATAAATTATGGTGGCGAGAAACACCGGTAAAACATGGCAGAAAAATCAATCACAAAAAAGGCAAAAAAACCTGACAACCTGTTGCTTATATCTTGAATTTGCAAAGTCGTGATCGATTCCAGCCGCCGATGCGTTTTCGAACCATAAAGCGAAAATAAAAACCGTAGTTTAACTTAATTGTCCTCATTTTTATATTCCCAGAAACTTTATGAGCGGGTAATAACTGAGAAAAATTGTTAGCTTTTAGCATAAGTTATTCCTGCATTTTAAACAACAATAGTAAAATAAATTGAACACTTAGAACGCGTTCCTTATCATGAAAAATTGCTTGAGATCTAGATACAGAAAAGAACTGAATTAATACTGAGAAAAGAAGTTCTAATCACCTCTGTCTTTGACCCCTTGGCACTGAACTCCTCTCAGAAAATAATATTTACGGATTAAAAACATTAACGCAGATATTACCTTCTACTCCAAAACTATTTTTCCCTTTTAAGTCACATCTCTCGGGAACACAAAGCACCGTTCGGATTTAAAGATCCGTATTTATATCTTCTTCAATCGATTTCCCTTGTTGATTTTCTTTATCGTTATCTTGATATCGTTAAGATTTTTGCTATATTCTAAAGCAAAGACTACATGTGAGGCTTTCAAATGTCTACTTGTAGCCAATGAATAAGTTATGAACTAAAGCTCTATGACTTTTTTGGTACCCGTTAGAAGTCGTAGATTCGTAAAGTAGAAGTTTGTTGCAGAAGCAAATTTAGGCGTACATGAGATAAAAAGAAATAATTCGTCAAAGAGGCAAGCCGAGTTCATTTCGTAAAACGGTCTTTTTCCATTTAATGGTAAGGCTAAATATCTATAAATGCGTGCAAACTTATTAATAGATGCATTTTATAGATTCCGTCCGTACATGTGTGATCATCGTAATAAACGGGTATAACATTTCGTAAGGACTCTCCATGGTGAACAAGTTGACAAACTAATATGAATCAATTAATTCAAAATATGTCTTCGTTTTTTATTGCCTTTAATCGCCCGGCTAATTATCCTCATAAGCTGCTAGCAATGACCAAATTTGGAAAATATTTGCAATACTATTCCATCACTGACGCTAGTGCTCAGTGGCGTCAATGATGAACTAATGGTCCATCATTTCTTTGATCTGTAAGCTGGCTCTTGAGTTGGAGTCTTGTGTTGGATTTGTTTCGCACGCGAGATGTCATAATGGGGGAGGGGGGAGGGGGGGGGGGGGAGGGGATTGGGGCTCGCAGCTCGGGTCTGACTCGCTCGCTTGCCTAGCCCCCAAAAGAAGGGGCTGCTGGCAGCTGCCAGGTTAAACCAAACAAAAAAATAAACAACCCCATCCGCCAGGTTCCGTACTTTGGCCCTTTAAATGACTTCCCCTCTTAGACTTTATAACTCAGAAGATACCAATAGTGGTCGAGTGTGAGTTATAATGATAAGCTTAGGCCACTTGAGATGGCGGGGGGCTGTTGTGTCAAATCGGAAATATATGGATCTTTTTTTTTTGTCTTGGGGGGTGGGGGTGGGGGGGGGGGGGTGGGGGGGGGTTGTGGGGGGGGGGGGGGGGGGGGGGGGGGGGGGGGGGGGGGGGGGGGGGGAAGGGGATTGCGGCTCGCAGCTCGGGTCTGACTCGCTCGCTTGCCTAGCACCCAAAAGAAGAGTCTGCTGGCAGCTGCCAGGTTAAAACAAACAAAAAAATAAACAAGCCCATCCGCCAGTTGCCGTACTTGTGCCCTTTAAATGACTTCCTCTCTTAGGAAGTCTGGCCTTATGCTATCTATATCAACTTCTTCCTCAGAATCCAACGGAATTAAATTTGCCATCCTTAGTGTATAACTCTTCTATGTACTCTCACCATCTCCCCTTAACATCCTCTGAATCAGTGAGCAGCGTTCCATCCTTACTGACTACATTTCCTTGTTTCTTGCTCCCAAGGTCTTCCTGGTAAATCTCTTTCATTTTTGCATAGTACACTAAATCTGATCTTCCACTTCTGTCCAGTTCCTCCAATTCTCTACATGGACCCTCCCACCACACATAGCACGCGCTCTATCCGTTTCTCTCCGAAGCTCATTGTTTAGGTTCCTATACATCCGTCAACTAGGTTCTGTATTCACGTTCTTCCATTTCCGCCTCTCTTCCATCTTGTCTATCATCTGGTCAGTGACCCAGGGCTTCTTAGGCTTCTTCCCTACTTCATATCCGATATTCTTCTCCCCACTTTTCCGAATTGTGCTTTTATGGAGGACATAAACACACAACGACGAATTTGTCTTTCCCCTTGTAAAGTTGGGACGTTTTTATTGGTCACTAAGCCGGAGAGATTAAAATGTTAGGAACGCTGAACGTTGTGCACCGTCAGGTTACAAAAATATATAACAAAGGAGTTTGACGGGTTTATAACGATTTCACTGTATTAACTATGGTTAACTGTAACGGAGAGAAATTAACCGTAGGTGAGGCGTAACTGAAAAAATGCAAGAATATTTTGATCACTTTTAATAACCGTAAATATCTCCACCCCACTAAGACCCTCTTTAATGTACAAATATGTAGAGAAGATCTACAGATTAATTTTACAGCGCTTCTAATTTGCACCAAAATACAGATTCGAATGTACACTCCTTTGTTTTCTTTATAAGAATATATCTTGTAAGAATATTGAGGCTGAAAGTTCCGAAATTCCAAGAAGTCTTAAGCCGAATAAACCCATGGCTGAGATTTTGAAATGGTTATAATTTTGAGTGTTGTCTGTAAATTTATGCGCACAATTATATGTGTTAAACCCCTAAGAGTAACGTGATAAATTCTGTCTTTTTTAAGAATAATACAAGAATAATTTCAGCCTAAAATCGGCAGAAAATAAGAATATTCAGCATGGGCTGGAAAAACAACATTCTTATCAAAGAAAAAAGAAAAAATAGGTTGTAACGTAAATCACGAGAAGGTTAATTGACTTATGTGTCGTGTTTTGATGCCGTCCCATGTTGTATAAGGCGTTAATGTGCTTTTTTTTTTTGAACGCCTCCTTGCCCACTAGCCAGCGGAAGACTGAGCCTTTGCGTTGCCTATTTTACGAGGGTCTGAATGGGGGGGTCCACTTGTCGGTTAAAATTCAGTAATTTTGTCGGTAGTCGGTTAAAATTTTCGATCTTTGTCGGTAGTCGGTTAAACTTTTCGATTTTCGTCGGTTGTCGGAAAATCTCAGTTAATAAGTAAAAACGCTTGTTGATTATTAATATTTTTTTATGTATTTCACCCACTTTTCAAGACTTTGATCCCTAAGGAAAGAGTAAAACTTGCAAGAATGCATCATTTGATTGTGCCTAAACCGTGCATTGCAAACTCTTGTTTTTTTACGCAACATGATCGTTTATTTCATCATTGTTTGCCATTAAATGAATATAGTACTGATAAAATCACCAAAGCTTTTATTGTAAGTGCGAACTTGGTTTCCCTGTCGACTACAGGGCACAGTAAAAAGTAATTAATTAATTAATTAATTAATTAATTGATGGATAGTGAAAAACTGCATCCCTCTTATGTTTTGGTTCTAACAAGCATGTCCTTTGCCATAATTTTCCTTTCTCAAAGAAATAGCACTTTAGGTGGTTCTTTAAAATTTTGGCAAGGTAGTGGTTGGTTTTGTATGAGATTCCACTTTTTCATTAAAGCTTCTTTTTTTATAGACACTAAGGGCTGGTATTATGTCACGGAAGGCAATATTTCAGTATTTTTCTTCCTGGTTGTTTTATTTCAGGAGCGCTGCCCTCCTTTCTGTGAGTTTTACTTCTAATAGCAATTTTTCTTTCAAAATTGTGTGGCTAGCCTCTGTCCATCAAGCGCTTTTGAACCTCAGAGGAGTTTGTTCGTAGGATTCTCAAGGCTTCTCGTTCGTCAAACAGGCGCTTTAACAATTGGTGTGTGATAAGAGGTGAAATTGTATACACCGTAAGGTTTCCGTTTCAAATGCGTCTTTACGTCAAGGATAGCTTTTTCTCATTTTGTCGCTGAATGTTGTACCTTTGTATACAACCGTTTCTAATAAGAATGTCTCATTTTCAGATATTTCGGCCGTGAATTTCATAGGAGGTCATGTAAAATTACTTGTTCCGCGAAGAAAGCTACGATGTCTCGTTTACTTATGTCCCATAGGGAAAAGATGTCATCTATGTAGCGTTTTCAAACAGTCAGGGTTTAAAGACGGTTTTGCTTAAACTTTGTGTTTCAATATGTGCCATGAAAATGTTGGGAAGGAAACTACTGCCTTTGTGCTCATCGCGGTACCGTGGGTTTGAACTGATAGTGTTTTACATTAAACGGGAACGAATTTTCTTTGAGGATTAATCTAAGCAAGAAACGTTCGGTTTTTTCACCTTTGACTTTTCGATAAAATGTGACTTTGTGATTTTGATATTGGCTGTAGCAATGTACCTGTATCAACAACAGAAAAAAGAAATTCTTTCCCTTCGGCCATCTGATGAGTCATAAATTTAAAGAGGTTACTTCCTCGAGCTAACGGTTAGAATAAATACAAATTGCTCTTTTTTCTGGAAACAAATATTGATAACATCAACCCATGTCGGTAGTCGGTTGATATTTTTCCTGTCGGTAGTCGGTAATTTTTTACTCGTTTTGTCGGTAGTCAGTAATATTTTTCGCCCTTTGTCGCTAGTCGGTTAACCCCATTCACACCCTCTTTTACCAGTTAACTGTGAAAATGTTCACCTGGGAGTATGGAGTCTCTCTTTTAACTCGTGTAGGTTAAAAATGTTAGAAAAAAAGTACCAAATTGTGTGTAATAAAGGACATTAAGGAAAGTCTGATAATAGTATTTTTTTTTTTTAATTTCAAAATTCTAAAATTCGTCGTTTACGGTCGTTTACGCTAAATAGGACGACAATGTACAGCTTTAAAGGTAAGATCACTTATATTTTGTCTTCATTAAGGCGGGTATTCTTCCCAGTATTTTCACGATATTGTCAAGTTACCGATATTCTAACACATTAGAATCGTCAAAATTCTGAAAAGGGCAAACGGTCACGCAGTTTGCATAGGGTCCCTATGGGGAATTAAGGATATAATCCAGCATGTGCGTCACGCAACTCATGAATAGAATTCATGGCCCGCATATTTTGGGTTCTCACTGACTTGAATGATCAAAACGCACTCTGGCAAAGTTTACATTTGAGCCTTATAATGTTGGTTTGATAAAGTAAGTCCCCAGTAAGATTTCTTTCTGATCATGTTACGTAATCCATCCCGGAACATGACTCAGCAATTACACGAAAGCCACGTGTTCGATCAAACAGATTGCCTTTGTGTTACTTTAGTTAGCATACGTGTTTGCCTGAACATGTCGCCTTGGTTTGTCACGATTTACGATTTCCTTAGCCTTGGAAATGTTTTTTTATTTTTACTTTTGCTGTTCCTCCTGCATTACTTGATGGTGCTCTACGAGTTCAGAAACATGCCACCCGGTCCACGCTTAACAACTCTCCCTGTGCTTGGAAACATATTTTGTCTTGACCATAGGGCGAAACGATTCCCCGACACCTTTAGAAGGTCAGTATTCAAGTCGCAGTCATCATTACTTATTGATATATTGATATGTGGGTGGCCCTCAACAATTAGAACAAACAGTACGTTTTAGGGCATAGAAAGTACAAGTCTACAGAAAACCACTTGCAAAAACACCATTATGTTGTTTTAAGGAATATGCATAAAAGAGTGCGGCTATTACATAATGTTAAATTGCAACGTGTCACTGTGCAGAATGCTGCGGCTAGACTTGTACTGAACTTAAGTAAGTACCCGCATATTTCTCCCGCGCTTTATCAACTTCACTGGTTCAGTACAACATCGTTTTCATTTTAAGATCTTGATTTTAACATTTAAAGCTATTCATGGGTTGGCGCCTAAGTATATCATAGAACTAATTAACATTAAGCCTAGGTATATATATAATCTTAGATCAAATCAAAGTTTATTGCTTGACCCTCCTAAAGGGAAAATGCTTGTCACGTTAGGTGACAGATCCTTCTCTGCTGCTGCCCCATATTGATGGAATAGTTTGCCGGCTGAATTACGTGATATTCAATAATTAGCTGTTTTTAAATGTAAGCTGAAAACTTATTTTGTTTCGTGCAGCTTTTACGACGTAACCTGTTTGACATTCAATTTATTAGTATTACTAATTAAGTTTATTATCATTATCATTATTCTATATTATTATTATTAATATACATTGTTAATATTCATGTAAATGTAATTAGTTTTACAAATTTGAATTTTATTGTGGTTTTTTTAAGTTGTTAAGCGCTGTTGATCAGTGAAAGTAAATAGCGCTCTAGAATTTATTAAATTATTATTATTATTATTATTATTGTTATTAATGTTAATTTGGCGCTTAGATAATCGACACAAGCAATTACATCTTGAACACAGAGAGCAGTCAGATAAATCATCTTTTTCTTCTATCATTTCACCTTGTAGCCTTAAAGAAAACTTCGGAGGGGTTTTCTCCTTGAAGCTCGGAAGTTACAACTTCGTTATGGCTTCAACTACTGGTGCTGTCAAAGAAGTCCTCGTAAAGAAGTCGGCTGATTACGCCGGAAGACCACAAATGCATGTTTTTTACACATCCACCCTGGGTATGTTACACGGGAGATTATGTAGCCTAAGAGCAAAATGGAGGTTAATGAAATCTACAGACTTGGACATTTAGAATTTACTAATTGTAGATTGTTCTTAAATTTATCGTTTTATCAGTTTATTTAATTTATTTATACACATATCATAATTTTTATGTTATTTATGTACTTATTTATATGTGTAATATATATTTTTTCTGAGGCTGTTCCTTAGTTCCCCAGGGTCACGCCCCTAGTGGTTGTTGCTATGTGACACCCATACTGGTATACTATCCTAACAATAATAACTAGGTAGTTACACTACGTTGACGATACTCTTACCGCTGTACACAAAGAGAGATGGACGATTATCGCCAACACCTGAACCGACAGAACGCGGACATTCTGAGTTTGCGTAGGAGATCAAGGGAAAAGGTAAAATACCTTGTTTTCTAGACTGCTTGGTTAACCGTGAGAAAAACAACAACGACAACAACAACGACAACAATTAACAGAGAACCAACACGTACCGACAGATTACTAGACCAGTCATCTCATAGCCTTGGACCAGGCTCCGCAGAGCAGTCGGGGAAAAGGCGAAAAAAAAAAAAAGAATCGACAAGAGAGAAAAAGTGAATTTGAACAAACATCTAGAACAAAGGCCACTGAATCCTAGTCTGCGGTTACCGGCACCGTGCAAACGACTTATTGAAAGGCTCAAGGAAAACTAACAACAATAGAATGACTGAATAACCACTAACCGATACTTTCACAAACAATAAACGGCCTTTTTACAGTCTTCATTGCCAATAACATCACGGCTTAACTGACAGACGACCAATAACATCGGAACGTAATTGACCAATCAGGTCAATAACCAGAGATTAATACCATCAACTGATGTGATCAGTACAACTCACTTTCACTCTAACTCACTATAACTAGCGCACACTAAGTCAGGCTGTCGAAACGTCAACCACCGTTAACAACAGTCCTATTCAGGACTATATACACTCACCCGGACTATGAAAAGACTCCTGGTTTCAAATCTTTCACTCCAATCAGGCTATCTCATCAGTGTCGAGTACAGATGTAGTCGTTTATCGGAGCTCTAAAACAATGGAAATTTTTAAACTATCACCCTAAATAGCGGTTAGAGAATTTGCTTGTATCGCAGAGAGTTTAATAAGAGAGGAAAAAGTGACATCTCATTGCGGGTAGAAAGCAATATACAGTGTAACCACGATACAACGGATATCTATATAAGGAAAGCCTCGGTACAAAGAACGATGCTCTTAGTTTGCCCTAGTAATAATAAAGTATGTGGAAAAGAACCTCGTTATAACGAAACCTCGTTATAGCGAACACATATTGCCAGTCCCTTGGCCCTTCGTTAATCGAGGTTCTGCGTTATACAAAACAAAATAGTGCTCGTCGCTGTCGTTTAATAGCACGCATCTTTATTATTGCAGGTGGAAAAGATATAGTATTTGGAAATGGACCTGCATGGAAATTTTATCGCAAACTCTTCACCACAGCGTTAAGGCAGTACCTCTCCAACTTTCCTTTAATAGAGAGTCGTGTTTCAACCCAGGCTGAGAAACTGGTGCAATTCGTTGAACAACAGAATGGAAAAGCTTTCGATCCTGCAGATTGCTTACAGCGAGCCGTTGCCGACGTTATATGTGGAATTACGTTTAAAGAGGGCACCAACACATCGCACCCCGATATGGATAAGCTTCTTAAGCTGAATGTAACGTTTGCCGCAAGTGCTGACGATGTCCAGATGGCGTCTTTCTTGTCCTTTTTTCCGTGGGCATGTCACTTGCCTTTTAATGCTGCTGACCGCATCATCAAGCTCTTCTTTAAAATGCACGCCATCATCCGCAAGTCACTCAGAGAGAGAATGAAAACTTTTGACCCGACCGAGCCAGTAGAAGATTTCATGTCAGCATTGCTTAAAACCCGACATGACTTTGAGGTAGAATGTCAGACTGATGAAGAGAGATCTGCTCTACTGTCCGAAGATCATTTCATCGCCGCCATCGAGGATATGTTTTTTGGTGGTTACGAAACCACCAGTACCACATTGAGATTTGCCATTGCTTTTCTGGCTAGTCATCCAAATTACCAAGAGGCCATTCAGCACCAGTTAGATGAGGTACTTGGTGATCGACGACCTTCCTTGGATGACCGTCCCAATCTGCCTCTCGTTCAAGCAACAATCTTAGAAACATTGAGACTTGGAAACGTGCTGCCGATGGCGCTTCCCCATATCGCCCTCGTCGATACAATTCTATGTGGCTACCGTATTCCCAAGGATACCGTCATTTTTGCTAACACAGAGTCCGTCCATTTGAATCCCAACTGCTGGGAAGACCCCACCGTCTTTAACCCATACCGCCATATTGATGCAGACGGCAAGCTGATCACCAACCAAGGTAATTTCTATCCTTTTGGAGCTGGACGTCGGGTTTGTGCTGGTGAACCTTTGGCTAAAGTTGAGCTGTTCCTGTTTTCTTCATGGCTGCTGCAGAGCTTTACATTTCTTCCAGCTGATGGCCATCCTCCAAAATCAAAGGCAAGTATAATTCAGTTTCCTGAACATTACAAGATACGTGCGATCAAACGCAAATGAACTGCTTTGGCGAGTCTTCTTTAGTACATGATTCTCTTGCAACCGGACCCTAACCGAATGATGACTCAACTTTTATCGATACGGGTAACCCTAAGGACCACGGGGTTGTAAAACTGTGTCGTTGCAAGAGGTTGATCATATGTTTCAAAATTCCGTCGTCTTTAAGCCAACATTTATCCTTGCTTAAGAAAATCTGCAAACCCTAGTTCGGCTTCCATGAAAATAATCTTGATTTGTTATACAAACAAAGTTTTCATAAAAAATGCTTGCTTTAGGAAAACTGGAAAAGGCCAAGGACAAAAGACAATCCTTACTATTGTTATCCCAAAATAAATAATGAAGCGTTTTTTGTGTGTAAATTGCAAGTAAATCTTAAAAAACTTTAAGAGACATTTAACATTCTTTATTTGTTTTACGCATTGGGTTTGATGTATCTCCTCAAATAATCGCCCGGGCGCTTATCTTATATTACGGCTAAAAGGTGGGGCGCTTGTTTGATAATAGGGAGCTTAGCAGCAAAAAAAGTCACCCAAATACCCAAAAAGTGAATTCGCGCTGTTTCAAACTTCATCGCTCTTTTTCCAACTCCTTAGATTTGTCAAATGCTGACGATTTTTTTGAGGAGTTGAATTCCAAAGGACTGTATCTAAGTTCACAAAAACAAAAAGAAAATCAGTGGTACGTTGTCTTGAGTTCACGTCCTCCATAAAACGTGAAATTAGGAAGTTTCACGTCGTAGTCGTGCAGTGACGGCAAAAAAAAGTACAAAAAAGCGTGATGCACCTACAAAGTTGTTGTTTTACCAGTCTCAAGCTGTTGCTTTTTTGTCGTTTTCGTTGACGTCGCCGTCGTCGTTGCCTAAGCTCCGTATTATGGTCTAGGGGTGGGTGCTTATTCAAGAGAGTAGAGGTCAGGGGCTTATTCGAGGAAACACGGCATCTAATTTGACGGAGGTGATGTTAGGCTTTTTTTTCCCTAATAATTCATCTGTCTGAAATATCTCAAGCTTTTATCATACAATTATCATATTTTAGATCCTTTCTCACAAAGTAACTAGAAGCATTATTGTAACCCCATAACTGAAGTAAAATGGAGGCATTTTTTAATAATTAAAATAACCTTCCAAGGTGTCTGAAATGTTTTGTGTGTTTGTGTTTCGACATTTCTCTTTGCTAAGGATAAAGCTTGTTGAAAACAAAAAAGAAGAAAAATCACATGTTTGCATTTTACCCTTAACATAATGCAATGTGAAAAATTAATTAACGCTATTATAATGACAATAACATAGAAAACAAAACTCAAGGCAGGGCTGGCACTACGGCAAAGGGCTGATTTATTATAGGCCAATATTTTGGCTCACAAAATTAGCCTTCCTTAAGTTTTCGTTTCTTTGTTCCCATTCGTTTGTGATAGACATAGTCGGGACAATTTGTCAAGATACCGTAAGGATTAATCCTGGGTGATCGTTTTTTAATGATTCTCATAAACATCCTGTTTGATTAAGAATGGATATTACAAGGGGAAATTTGGGTTTAATACCTCCTGAGCAAAATCATACCTCACCTACCCCCTTCCCATGTAAAGGCATCGTCAAAGACAGTTATTTGTCGCCCGTCAAAGGTGTTCAAAAGCGGTCAAATAATCGACCTTGATGCTCCTGCTTAAATTTTAATTTCGACTGCCGGTATATATAATAGTTTAACTAGCCCTTTCTTAAGAGAGGAAACATGAATACATTTGTATCCTCTCTTCAATTCAATTAAATTTATTGCGTCGACGAATGAGACTCTCCTAAATCGAGTTCCTTGGGTGTTCAGTGATTTCGTGGGCAGTCTGCATGTTCCAATCTGCGCCATTTTGAAATGTTACAATGAGCATCCTGACGTCTCAATACGATCACGCCCAACTTGTTTTGTACCGTTCCTCGTATTTGCGTGGTGTGACTTAAGCTTCGAAAACTACAAGGTGAGGTAAAATCCTTTTCTTTCTTCGATATTTCATGGAGTAATCTCTTTCTTTTCTAAATATTAATATTTATTTTTTTCTTAGATCAAAGACTGATCAGGAAAGTATTGACTATCTTATGCAACCCAGCTAGGTGACTAAGGCCCTAAGGCGAAGCACCATAACCTTTCATTACTACTAGTTTAAAAAAAAAATTAAGAAGGCACAACTAATCATGATAGTGACAAGTTACCATGAGTCTGTTTTGACACCGTATTTTCGGGGTTAATTTCCTGTCTAGGCCATTTCAACGTTCCTGCGGGGATGAATTATTTCGGTGTTTTTGAAATCAAAAATCCGATTTCAGTGGCTGTTAAGTTTTCTCGAACTTGGCGTCAAATTGCATTTCTTTTTTATAATCTTTAAAATAAATCAATTTTGTAGTGAACTTGTTTAGGGGCTCTAGCTCCTAGCTCGTAAAACCCAAAAAGGTTTGCTGAGAGCCTGCCCAGGTATAAAATTATCTTATAATATCCTGTAATTGGTATGAGAAAGGGCAAATATAGATTGATTGATTGATTGATTGATTAATTTATAAAGTGAATACAAGTTGGAACTACAATAGTCAAAATTGTTCAAAGACTTGACGTCAATGCTGATTTACATATTAGCACTCGCAGGAAAAAAAAGCAACAACAACAGCAAAGAGATAAATAAGAAAAAGTACATAAACTTGATATGAGACTCAAAATTAGGAGAGGAAAAGATTAAAGTCCACAGCAGGAAACCGATATCTGTCGCTTGAGAAGTTTTGATTCACGAAAAACTCCTCACCTTGACCTTTAATTAAGTTTCATCTCGACATTGTTTTCGCATGCAGCTCTTAAAATCACGTCAAGATGAAAACTAAACAACTTAAAAAAAGTTCAACTTTCGTTTAGTTTACTTAGTTTTCAACTTGACGTAAATGTAATAAGCTGCATGGGTGAGCGTGTCGCGGATGAAAGAAAAGGTCAAAGTTATTTGAGGCAACAACCACTTGACCGTTAGCTAAAAGTCCTTCCATGGCTTTTTCAACTTTTGACGGGGACCAGTCTGCAAAAATCTGTCAACACGACTGGAAAGAACGTCTTTGAATCAGTAAAGTCGCTACTGAGTGAAAGTGATTTGTTGAAAACTAACAAAGATATAACTCTGTAGACGCGTTCGTATAAAGTATATAAACGTTTGTAAAATTTCGTGACTTTGTGGTGCAACATCTTAGCTCCCTTGGCACGTACCACCTTTTAACTTGGTAAGTTATCTTATTTTAAGGCCCTCTTTGCAGTAGTGTCGATGGACATCCGCTTACTTCTCTTTATCAAAGAGTTGAAAAGAAAAGAAAAGAAGAGATAAAACGTGGAAGGGTCTGTTTGTTCTATGTCATCGTTTCAAGCCGTTCTTTTATTATTAAATCAATAGGTCAAGTACTGTTGGCCTTAAGCTAAGAATACGTACTTTGTCTTCTTATTTAGCAAGCTGAAGCATGACTCAGGGATTGCGAAACACCAGTACCTTAAAAGTCGCGTCTTTTACCTAAGGTCACATTTATGCTTTACCATGTCGCCTGTACTTGCCACGATTTACGATTCTCTCAGCCTTGGAAATGTTTTTCTGCTGTTGCTTCTGTTTTTCCTTCTGCATTACTTGATTGTGCTCTACGAGTTCAGAAACATGCCACCCGGTCCTCGTTTGTCATCCCTTCCTGTGTTGGGGAACATATTTTCCCTCGACCTTAATGCAGACAGAATGCCAGACACTTTTAAAAGGTCAGTTTTGTAATTTGTTTCTCTTAAACCTCCTTTTTTTCCGGGGGATTTTCTGAAGCATCAAACATCATGATTTTGTCAGTTCGTGCTAAAATTCGCACGAGTGACCTAGAATTTTAGTAATTGCTCATTGTGATATATATGTGAAGATCTGGCAAACAGTATAATACACTCTTAAAATATACACCCTCTAATTGTTGCTCGCGATTCAGCGAGACGAACTTGATCGGTTTTGCCATTGCTGGTGTTTGACCTTTTAAAGCAATGATCACGTGGAATATTTCATAACTCTAAAAAAATATGCTGGATAATTTACGAAGGTCCCAACCTCACAAAATCATACCCTTGGAAAACTCTCTTTATAACATAGCGCGCGTGCTTGCCCTATATAAGTGCTATTGATCCGCTATGAACAAAATCTTTATTTACGCACGCCCGTGCGTAAATAAGATGACGTGAGCCTTTTTTTTTTTTACCTGGCTGCAAAGTTGTCGTCTTTTAAGCTACAATGCAGTGTTCCTTCTCTGTAAAATATGGAAGAAACCAGCGAAGAACTGCCCAATTTTTCTATCGGCATTGACCTTTTAGGTCCTGATCCAACAAGCAGCAAAAATAAAGCCAAATTTAAAAAAACTCGCAAGTTGCGCTTTTCGCAAATTTGTCGGAAGACCAGTTGCAGGAAATTTTGGCCGAAAGACAGTCGGCTGGGAACAGAACAGACACCAACTGGTCATCAACAACATTTAAAGCTAAAATTTCCGTTCTTATTGTTGTTTTTAAATTTGTTATGCACTATTGTTATCTCCAGACAATCCGACTGAAGCAGGAAAATTTCTCTCGCAATAACAATACAAATGTACACAAGAAGACCATAAATTTATTACTCACAAAAACAACTGCTGCCAGGTCTTCTCAAGAAGCTGTAATGACCAGCCAATGTTCGTAAATGAATGTAAGTTTAAAGAAGGATGAAAATCGTCTTCCCTAAAAACATGTTTTCTGAATTTCGCCAAGCAAAACATAAACATGTTTTCAGCAAATCCAAACCACACTCCACGACTACTCACGAACATGTCACGGAGGATTTAAACTTTAGGTGAACTTTAAGACTCTTTTACCTTTGTTTCTGTATAGTTTCCATTGATCGTTAAAGAATAAAGAAGCAAATTTTCTTTCTCACTTTTACAGAAAGAATATATATTTTCATTCAAACAAGACGATTGTGGCGTGTTCGTAATCAGCCAATAGAACCGTTTGTTATTGCGTCGCGCGTTACGAGAATTTTGCAGTTAATCAAAAAGCAAGCATTTTTGTCACCTATCTCAGCCATGTTATAAAAGAATTTGCTCATGCTTTGAGCTGTGCATATATCGAGTTATGGATGCACTTGGGAAGTTTGGAGAGCACTCAAGAAGCAAGAGTTGCACTCGGCTATCGCCTCTTACGCATCTTTCGTGCTCTCCAAACTTCCTGCGTGCATCCATAACTCGATATACGCACGCTAAGCATGAACAAATTCTTAAATTCACCTCCTCCATCTCCCCTTAACTAAGGAGTTATAGCAACGACGACGGCGACGGCAACGAGGACGTCAAAAAGCCAATAGGTAACGTAATCATATATAACCAAAACAACAATTTTGCTCGTGCATCACGCTTTTTTGTACATTTCGTTGCCGTCACTACCGCCGACTATGACGTGAAAAAAACCTAATTTTTACAGAGGAAGTACACAAGCGACGAGGAAATTTAATAACATTAATAATAACATTTATTTATACCGCGCAAATTCAATTATACAGTTTTCAAATGCGCCTTACAATTAAAGGTCTAAAAATATACCGTAAAAAAATATATATATATATATTTGCTCTGACTCTATTTCTGAACTTGGATATGGTTCTTAGGAATTCAACTTTAAGAGGGTTCACCCACATGTGACAAAGTTTGTGACTTGGAGTAATCCCGATCACGATTGAAAGAACGCGAATTCACTTTGTCAGTGACGTTTTCGCTGGCGTCGCCGTCCTCAGATCTTAATTAAGGTCCCTTTAGGGAGCTTAAGATCCGACGACGGCGACGGCTACGAAAACGTTACATAAAAAGTGAATGCTGGCTGCTTTAAACTTTATGACTCTTATCCTATCTCGTTTAATTCGCCAAATGTTGGCAAATTTCTTTTTGAGTTAAATTCTAATGGACTGTGTCAAAGTTCAGGAAAAGAAAAAGAAAGTTGTTGTCTTCTATTCCCGTCCTTGACAAAACGTGAAATTAGGCACTTTCACGTTATAGTCGTGCAACAACGCGGCAAAGAAATGTACAAAAAAGCGTGATGATGTTGTTGGTTTTTCTAATCTAAGCCTACTGCTTTTTTGACTTTCTTGTTGCCGTCGCCGTCGGATCTTAAGCTCCCTAAAAGGGACCTTAACAGAGTGCGTTCCTTTCGACCAATCCGGTCAAAAGGAACGCGAAATCCGAAATTGGATTTGTAACCTTGGTAACCTTTCGCAAACGCATGTAATATGCATGACAGTTTCTTAAGAATACTGTTTGACAAATTATGCGATTATAGCGTGTAGAATTTTGTGGTCGGCAGTTCGAATAGTGATCATGGAACATAAGTGGATCAAGAAAGAAGCGCGTTAAAGTTGAACATTATCTTAAGGTTGTAGGCTCGGTTTGATGCAATTTCGTCGCTCGGATTTTTTTATGTAACACGATCGAGTGCCTATCGCGTCTACAAGTGAGTTTGTAGAAAGACAGCAGTTCATTAGTCCCTACTAATTTGCGTTTTTGAGCAATATTTAGCGACAAATGATTAGCACATGAATATTTACTGTACCAGGAACAATCTTCAAGTGTTTTCAGATGTTTTACGGCAAATAGCAGCAACTAGGAAACTCCAAAGGAATACTTCAACTGGAAATACCGCTGGATCATGTGACTAATTTCGGATCCATTGTGAATGGAACACCTTGGATCACTAATCCGTTAATCTGGATTCGGATTCTTCGGATTTCAAATCTAATGAATCCTTTGTCAAAAAGGATTCACCAGATCAAAAATCCGTTTTTGGATTTACCGAAAGGAACGCGAAATCCATTTGAAGGATCTAACCTCTGGTTTTGGATTCACCCAAAGAAACACACCCTTACGACGTTCTCATTTCCGTCGTCGTCGTCGGATCTTAAGGTCCCCATTGTAAAACGCCCTACTGTTAGACCACCACCTCGCGAGATGGCATTTGATTTGCGTTTTCATCCCTTGTTTAATGATAATCTCAGCAACCGGAAAAATTCCCTTGGAGCGAGTTAGAGCTAATAACCAAGGGTCACAATGGTTTGGCCATCTCTCAAATCTCTTCGAAGTGTTCTTGCATTTCCTAGTCCTGAATGTCCTACACATGCCCTAGTGTTACCGTGAAGCGACTTATTTAGGCCTAAAGGGATTGCTGCCAAAGCTCCAACAACAACTGATATCACCTCCACCTCACGCATAACCCACATTGTTGATATCTCACGCTTGAAATATTTCATCATCGTCATCATCATCATCATCATCATCATCATCATCATCGTCATCATCATCATCATTATCATCATGGTTATCGTTATCATTCCATATATTTTATATTTTCTTTTTGGTGTCATCTTTCAACTTACATTCCTAACATACGACGGTCACTTTTTAGGCCTTTCTCGCGTATTTCCTCCCCCTAACAAAACTCTTTTCCTTTTAGCATGCTTTGGAACAGACATTCAGTCCTCAAAGATAATTCATTCTATTAAGTTTTCCAAACCATAATTTACAACGGAGGATAACACACGCAGTGCGTTTAAGGAATTACAAGTTCATCAATGATATTTCTTTCTATTTTTTTTTTCTACAGTCTCAAGAAAACGTACGGGGATATTTTTTCGCTTAAAGTTGGAAGCTACAATTTGATTATGGCTTCAAGTTCTGAGGCTGTCAAAGAGATGCTTGTAAAGAAATCTGCTGATTTCTCTGGGAGATCAGATTTGTACACCTTCTACAAAATAACCTTAGGTGTGTATACCATGGAGGACCATTGCTTGTTTTACTGATCTAGCATCAGTTTACTCCTATTTTTATTTGTTTGTTTGTTTGTTTTTTTGCTTTAAGACATTCAAACAACGCTTTCCTTTCACTGAACACTTCAGGGGACTACTCGTAGGAAATCTTGATGGTCTTGGTGGTTTTCCAAACCCCCACTGTGTTTTACACCGAGACAAACATTTCTACCCCTTTTCAGACCTAGTTGAATGTTTTATTCGTTTTGCCAACCTAATATCTCGTCCAAGTATAGTCAACACATGTTGTACTGCATTTCATTAATATTATCATTGTTATTTAGTAGTATTTGACCCTTAACGTCTTCATTTTGAGCTAAAAGTACAAAATATAATAGGCTCATACACCCTTGTCCTCCTTGAAAATTTTTCCCGATTTCAGCCAGACCATAATGGGAAAAAATCCGTATCTGTTTCCCGACGAAAGGGCGACAAAACCATACCTATGTAAGGTGAAAACTCACGTTTTGGCTAATTGTCTTCACTTCGAAACAAAACTAGGAGGAAACATACAACGTACGGAAATAAAGATTTAATTAAAGAAAATATTGATTGAGGTTGTACTGTACTCTTCTCACAGTTATTTGACTTTGTTTCTTCTCTTTGAACTCTAGGTGGAAAAGACATCGTTTTTGGTAACTATGGACCTGCGTGGAGGTTTTATCGAAAATTGTTTATTACGGCTCTTCGCCAGTACGTGTCGGACAGCCCTCTTATAGAAAGCAGAGTCTCGCCTCAGGCCGAGAAATTGATACATTTTATGGAACAACAGAATGGGGCGCCTTTTGATCCTGCAGATTGCTTGCAGCGAATTGTTGCCGATGTCGTTTGTGGTATAATTTTTCAAGACGGCTTGAACACGAAGAACCCAGATATGGACAAACTTTTGAAGCTGAATGTTAAGTTTGTTGAGAGTGCGGATGCAGTCAAGATGGCCTTCATTTTGGACTTTTTTCGGGGCGTGCGTCACTTGCCAATAAAGGCAAGGCAGGATCGCATTGTCCAGCTCTTCTATGATATGCACGATATTATTCGCAAGCTGTTAAGGGAAAGAAAAGAAACATTTGACCCAAGCGAGCCAGTGGAGGACTTTATGTCAGCTTTACTTCGAGCCAGATACGACCTTGATGCAGAATGCAAGAGCGACGAAGAACGATCCGCTGTCCTCTCAGAAGATTATTTCATCGCCGCCATCGAGGACATGTTTCTTGCTGGCTTTGAGTCCACAAGCACCACATTGAGATTTGCCCTTGCCTTCCTGGCAAACCATCCAAATTATCAAGAGGATATTCAGCGTCAGCTAGATGAAGTGCTTGATGGACGAAGCCCCTCCTTAGAAGATCGCCTTAAGCTGCCACTCATTCAGGCGATGATCTTGGAAACACTGAGGCTAGGGAATGTGGTGCCACTTGCGATACCTCATGTTGCCCTTACCGATACAACTCTAGGTGGCTACCGTGTTCCTAAGGATACGGTCATTTTTGCCAACACAGAAGCCGTCCATCTAGATCCAAAATGCTGGGAAGATCCCACCGTTTTTAATCCATACCGCCATACTGATGCAGACGGCAAGTTGATCACCAACCAAGGTAATTTTTATCCTTTTGGAGCTGGACGTCGGGTTTGTGCTGGTGAATCTTTGGCTAAAGTTGAATTGTTCCTGTTTTCATCGTGGTTGCTGCAGAACTTCACGTTTCTGCCTGCGGAAGGTCATCCTCCGACGTCAAAGGCAAGTATCATCCAGTTTCCACAACGTTACAAGATACGTGCGATCAAACGCAACTGAACTGCCTTTGCGAGTCTTCTATAGTTAAGAACAAGTTAATTGTAACCAAATGATAAGGCAGCTTGTATAAACAATTGCAAGTCGACCATATAGTGCTTAACCCTCGAACTCTCTCGGACCCCTGAGGTTGAGCAAAAGTGTTTGGAACTAATTTCTGCAAGGGAACTAATTTCTGCAAATGGCGTGACTCAAACTTCTCAAACTTGTAGCTGATGAACAATCAAAAACTTTATTATTGACAATTGGGAGGGAAGCTACTTCCCATACATTCTCTTAAATGAAATCCAAACGATGTTCTCACAACTTGCAAATCGATCAGCAAGAATCTTGCCAGCGGATTTGTATACTGATCATGCGCACTACGTCAAAAACCATAGATCAACGGTCTTGAGGAAAAACAAAAACATGGCAGTCGAAGGCGGGACTGTTTCACACTATTATATTTTGGTAATTCGCAAATTTATTGATTTTATGTCGCTTTTCAGACATAGTGTGTGGTTTTCTTTTTGTGTTAAACAATTTCCCTTTGCAGAGTTTGGAATATGTAACATATAGCTAGCTCCGTATAGCTGCTAAGAAAAGGCCGCCGAAGACTTGAGCTATCGAGCAGTGTTTTGCTGCAAATCTTAGGAAAAGTCCCTTCAAGGTACAGAGCTTTCAGTAGTAGTTGTGATTTGTTTTAGGATCGTTTTGAATTTTAACTTTAAATTCAATGCAGGGTGTTGACTGATCGAAATAAACGAAGTGAAATGTTATGAAGTGTTAATTTTTATTCAGTTATGATATGTAAGCTCACATTTAATATATAGATTTAGCCAGGGCTAAAAGCGAAGCTCCCGTTAATAAATTCATAATTTAAATGAAACAATAAACTTGCAATCCACAGATCCGGGTACATTCATGTGACTTTTGAGGCAAAGGCTAAGTGATTTTAGAGAAAAATAATTTGACAGTCCAGGAGTGAAACAAACTTTACATTGAGTTAGTAGTCTTATTTGTACACCCAAAAATAGCAATCATGTTCGATCACAGTAGATTAGGCCTGGAAAGTGTATTGTATTTGCATTAGCTGTTGCATCATAATGTGGCATTCACCAGTCTCTCCAACATTGCTCCGTTTGAGAGACTAATAATTGGACAACCCTGAAATATAATACTATGAAGGAACGGTGAAGCAGACTATTTTTCCCGAAACTTCGTGTACACATTAAGGACAACAACAACTTGCCACATGATAAGTTTCATCGATTTTTATTTCCATTTTCTAGCAAATTTCCAGACCTAAACTTCGCCACATATGTTCTCTATATTTAACCATGTTATGAAATCCGAACGTGGCACTAACAGTGAGCCTGGGTTACCTGTGATCAAAGCACGCCCTTCCTTTGCACAACAAATTATAGCATTGAGCACATTATAAAACGTTTTCATGAAGAGAATTCCATAATGCCGGGACTTTTCAGTTAGAAAAATCTCTTCCTATGTGATATGCAGTTTAATAATTATGGGCTTTTAGTGAAAACGATGAAAAAAATTCCCAAAATCACCTTTTCGGCCAGCCGGACGGGTTCTCACTTTTGACAGGCACCAAATTTGCAGTGCGATTAAAAGAGTTACGCTTCAACATGATAGAGATTTTGTTATGTTTAGGTTTTATTTCCCTGTATTTGTAAAACTGTTTATGGTCTTGTTATGTGTAATCTTTAAAAGCTAGTGATTATTTACGCGCTGCGTTTTGAGTATTCCTGCATGCGATGTTTATGTTCGACTCGAAACAACCGGTGCAGCGATAAAAATTGCGAGAGGGACTACTAACAATCAATAAAATAAATATAATTCGGTGAAACATGTACAGAGACAATAATTTTCATTCACGAAGACAACTATTGAGAGTAAAGTGTCTCTGAAAATCATGAGTCAGGTAAGCATATAAAGCTTATTTATGTTTTAAGCCGGCTTCCCGGTGTCTGCTCTTTTGCAAGATGAACTCGAGGCAAGAAAATCGCTCAGAGCTTTCTGTTTACAGCCAAAATCATAACTAAATATTCTTCGGAACCTTTTCTTTGAATTTGCGGTCAAAAGACGTCTAAAGGATTTTTAAACCTGATACTATTGTAGGTTAGATCATTGCTCGTGTATAAACTTAAGCCGCATAAACAATACGCTCGACGTCAGGAAACCAAAAAAAAAAACACACATCAAAGACAATAATTGCTCAGGCTTACCAGTCGAGATGCTGCTTCTGAAGGTCATCAAGTGTTCCAGAATCGCTTGAGACTTTTCAACCCTCTTACGCCTCAAGCAAGGGCAAGTGAGTAGGCTCATTTTTGAAAACGATGCCATCCGAAATCGGATTTCCAAAGACTTTGACAAGCGGTGCATTTGTCAATAAAAGCGCAATAAACAAACCAGCCATGAATTACAGAACAATCTTGATAGCAGCTGTATTTCATTTTGTACAGCAAGTGGAAAAAGACAATTAAAAACATCACAAGTTGACACAAAACTCTGTCAGCTTCAGCTGTCAAAGTAAACAATTTTCCAGACGCTGCATAAATTTTCCGCATGAACTCACCTGTCAAATTTTGACCAATCAGAACACAAAAATTGGACTTAGAGCGTGATCAACGCGTGACAGTGAGAAAAGTAAAAAACGATTGCCTTCCCTGCATGTAAAAGCCGGTTGAATTTTCGCGTCCGAGGTCAGTTCGAAATCAAAATTTTAAAAGTGCGGCTCATGAACACGACTTATTTTATATGCATTTTAAACAAATTGAACTTGAGCCTGCGATCATTTGAAAAGTAGCAACTTGTCAGCGGATTACTTCAAAAAACAAACAAACCCAGTGGGTCGATGCCTGAGCCGGCGATACGGTCAGGCGATACTGGTCAGCAGAAACACTATTTTGACAGCTGTCATTTAAATAACATGGATGTACAATATCAGGTTGGAGGCTCCCAAACTAGCTAGAAAGTGTGAGTTAAACATTGGTATGCCTGTGGTGCGGACGGACGGAAGATCGGGTGGTCGATGTAGGTCACGTGATTGGCGAATTTTCTAGGATAGATAGATTTTCTAAGCTATGGGTGACCTCAATGGATAGAAAAATGAGCCCGCAATACAGTCAGGTGATGATGGTCAGCGTATACTCTAGTTTGGCAGCTGTCAATTTACCTTCATTAGAATGGCGAATATTCGAATAAACAGACTACGAGTGCGAGTAAGACATATCCGTCCGGCTTGTAGTGGAAAATGACAGATCGTGTACCTGAGCGAACCTGAGCCCACCCAAGTTAATCTATGCACATATCCCATTTTGACAGCAGTCAATTGACCGTAATTTGGCTTAAAAGTTTCTGTTGCATTTTATGCCTACGTTTCAGATTAGAACTTTGCTTTCAGAACTTTACGTATAGAACTTTGCATCATTGCTTTCAGTACAAAGTTGTGGTTCATATTGTAATATATTGTTTATGTCAGAATAAAGTTACAGTTCTCTTCATACAAAATGTTTGTGGTAAAAGGTACCAGCTTAATCCCTTCTCACCAGTATTCTGTGCAAAGATTTTTACAATTTTTCTTTTTTATCCCTATTCTATTTCCACTCCTCCCTCTTTGTTTTCATTTCAGTCTTATTTTCTTTTCTTCAATTCTTTTATATTACATTTCTATACTAGTACTGCAGTAGACACATGCAGTCTTAGACTGCCTATTTTTTTTTTTTACCAGTGTTTGAATTTTCGAGTGTTTTTGTTATTGTCAAAAATAAATTGAAGCCAGTTTTTTGTCTCTTTCCCTAGTTGACGATTACCTCGTAACATTATTGTTGAAAGTTTGTCGTTTGTTTTGGATTGTTTTTTAAGGATCAATAAGAGCAAAGGCAAAACAAAAAAGGGTGTCAATTTGTTTTTCCAAAAAACAACAACAACAAGAACAACTTTATAACTGGTCATTTATGAGTTGCAAAAAACCGCACTTTCACACTGAGGCCATCTGAAATATATGTTTTTTTCTTGAACGATTTTTTGAGTTTTTTTTTTTTTTTTGCTTTAAACGTTCTGGCAATCACTCTGGGCATCGTACTCACTGAGTGAGGCTTCAAGCAACTGTTAAAGTTACCTGTTCTTACATAATATTGCTTATGCTAAAAACAATCAACGTTTTAGTTATTACATTTCAATATTTTTTATTGATGATGTATAACTCTTGTGCTGGAGATGAAAAAGCTATGTCAGACAATAGAGACTTTGAAGATCCGAGGACGACGACGGCGGCGAAAATATCGCTTAAAAAGTGAATTCGCGTTCACTCAAAATTCATCGCGACAGTTGTAACTCACTTACTTTCTCAAATGTACGCGAACTCTCCTGGAGTTGAATTCCTAAAAACCATATCCAAGCTTAGAATGAGAAAGAAAATTTCGTAGGAGATTGTTTACGTCCTCCATAAAACGTAAAATTAGGCATTTTCACGTCGTAGTCGTGCAGTGACGGCAAAGAAACGACAAAAAAGCGTGGTAGCAAAGTTGTTGTTTTGCTAATCTTATCCTATTGCTTTTTTGACGTTCCCTTCGCCGTCGCCGTCGTAGTCGGATCTTAAGGTCGCTAATAAGAAAACGGCTACGATAGCCTGTGTACAACTGCCCCCTGTACTACAGGGCGGATGGTAGGAGTATGATGGACTGTAGGAACATCATCAAAGAGGTCAGGACTTCGCTACTGTGAAATCGCAAAAAAGCCCGAGACTTCCTTTTGCTATTTCCTATCGTATGCCCTTTTTTTTCGGTCAGTCGCTGCCAAAAATTAAAAAAAAGGAGAGTGGAGCGTATATCGACAAAATATGCAGTGGCTATAGTAATATTGAGTGGGTTCTTCGAAAAATAGTTTAAAAAAGCAATGGTAATATTTAGCACAAATAAAAAGAACACTGAGAAATATGAAGAATTGTTTGCAGGAAGATGACGATGGAATAAAATATGCTTGCGGAGACATATATGTTG